AATGAAAAGTTATATATATATAAAAAGAAATCTCATATTATTAATGTATGCCAATTCAAAAACAAAATAAAATTTAAACAATAAGTGTCTATACACTTATATGTAAGCCAAATTGTGCTTGACCTAAATTAGTGTGGAATTCAGAATTTACAGAGTTGCTAATAAGCTGAATATCTATGACACAATTAAAGACCCACATAATTAGCCAGGTCTTTGCTAACCAACTCAATACAAAATGTACTTTTCCCTTTATAAACATTTACTAGGCTAGAGGTCACTTACCATATAATGTTCATTTTTTATATGTCTTATCTATTTATGTATATTTAAGATATGTCTGCAGCACAGTGCATCTTGATATCTGGCACCATTAATGCCTGGAAAGTGTTTCTCATGCCATAGATATGGTTTTGTCTGCTACTTCAGAGCCATAAGAAGCCCAAGGTAATGAGGTGACAGTATTAACTTCCAAATCAATGAAACCATGTGCTTGCTGGTGGCTGTATCTCTTCTTTTAAAACTAACACCTCTAGTCCAGCAAAGCATAAGGGTGCAGGGATAATAAGCCAAAATTTAGCTAGTGGATCACTAAGGGTAATAGTGAGAGTTACCACTTCCATTTATACCCTGTGATTCCTGGACCCATAAATCTTGGCTATGGGAAAAACATCACTATATATTAAACAGTGATTTGTAGCATAAACAACATTCTGGAGAACATTGCCATGATCATGCAAGGTATTGCCATCTACGTGGCACAATACCTGAGTATTGAAAAGTCATGACTGTATCAAGCCATCTGCTCCAGGAGGTAAGGAAGAAGTAAGAGCAATGAATTCCATGAACAAGGACCCGTTGCCACCATTCATTTTTGTGCAGTTATTCTTTAATCAGTAGCAGTTCTGTATGGAATACCACAATAGTGGATAAGGCATTGTGTAAAATGTGGATAGTAGTTTTGGCATTGTGTGAAGGTAAGGCAAATTCACATCAAGGTTTATTGTAGTATGAACAAAGCCTTCCATAATGGAAGTGATCCAATGTAACCAACCTGTTATCAGGTGGCTGACTGACCACTTCAGAGAATGGTCCCATATTGGAAATTTTATGTTAGTCTCTTGCTGGCAGATTAGGCACACAACAGTGGCTATAGCCAGGTCAGCCTTAGTGAATGAAAGTTCATGTTGCTGAATTCACGAATAACCTTTATCCCTACCATCATGGCCACTTTGTTTATTAGCTCATTGGATTAATGATACAAGTAACTTGGGAAAGAAGATGACTGGTATCCACAGATTGGGTTATCCTATCCACCAGATTATTAAAATCCTCTTCTGATGAGATCACCCTTTAGTAAAGACTCACAGAGGACAATAATATTTTAAGTTTTGCACCAATTAAGAAAGATTCATCCAAATACCCCTTCCTCAAATGTCCTTATTACAAATTTTCCAGTCATGTCATTTCCAAGTCACTCACTATCCAGTCAAACCATTAGCCATAGTTCATGAATCACTATACTCAGACACCTGGATATACTTCTCCTTTTAAACAAAGTGAACAACCACGTACACTACTCAAAGTTCTGTCCACTGGGAGTATTTTCCTTCACAACTGTACTTCAGGGATACCCAGAAAGGGGTTACCATGCTACATCTGTCCACTTTCAGATGGTACCTGTATGTTGTATATAACCATCTATAAACCAGCCTGATTTTCTCCACTTTTGTCAGCTAATCATATGGAAGTCCTCTTGAAGCCATAGGTGTAGGCTGGAAGTAAAAAGGTAGGGTAGCAGTGTCTTTGTTTGTTTTCTCTTGCTATAATGAAATATCTAAGACTCTATAATTTATAAAGAAAAGTTTGTATCACAGTTTTAGAAACAGAAAGAACAGGGATTGTTGACCCCATCTGTTCAGCTTCTCATAAAAGCTTTCTGATTGTGTTACAACATGGCAGAAAAAATGGAAAGAGAAGCAGCCACATTCAGAAGGGCTGAGCATGTACATTGGCCTTGTTTTATAATACTTAGTCCCATGGAAACTAGCTTATTCTGGCAATCCTTCATGAGGACAGTATTCTCATGATGAAGTTAGCTTGCACTAAGCTCCACTTTTTTTTTCTTTGGTGGTACTGGGGTTTGACCTTAGGGCTTTGCACTTGCTCGGCAACCACTCTACTGCTTGAGCCATGCCTCCAGTCCTTATGCTCCACCTCTTAATGGTTCCACCACCTTTCAAAATTATTACATTGGGGACCAAGATTCATACATGACCTTTGGGGGACAACACAGTTAAATAGTATGCAAACCATAGCAAGGGGAAATAGTTACAATAAACATTTAGGCCACTTCTTTATTTAACTTCTGCTTTAGGGATTGCTCAATCCTAATATCATATACAAATGTATATCCATTTGATGGTAGAGCATAGCCGTGAACACCCATTTTTTCTGGCTTGATGTGTCAGACAAGCTTCAGGATGAGAATCTCAGGTTTCATGTAACCAGGTGACCTATGGTTAAGCACTCAGTCTTTATTAAGGCTTAGTACCAACCCAAAAGCCATGTCTCAAAGAAAACTAGTTATCAACTGAAGATTTTAAGGCTTTGCTCCAAAATCTTTAGGGGTTGTGCTGTGATCCACCTACACAGACCTGTCAAAGCTTCAAAAAACAGTATCTACCAACTGACACTTCAAGTATCATTGTGTCTGCCTGATCACTTGACTCATGTGGGAGAGCAGATAACACACCAGCCTAGATCTGTTATGGAGTTTCCTCTTGCTCTGGGCTCCACTCAAAACAACAAATTTTCAGCTAACTCAGTAAGTATTTCTAATACCATACTCAATGAGAAATATATTTTCTCTACAATTTAAAGAAACCTACTAGATATTGTACAGTTTGGATTCTAGAAGATACAACAGTTAACCCTTCACATTAGGAAGGATATCTTGACATTCAACACACTATTGACATCTTAGAATTTAACTGAGATGGAAGGCTCCTGAATTTTAGTTAGATTTATTCTCTACTCTCCAAACACACAAACATCTTACCAACAAGTCTGTTGTAGTTGCCACTTCTAGCTCACAAGGTCTAATGAGTATATTGGTATGAATGTAATGGACCAGCATAATGTCTTACAGAAGGCAAAGGCAATCACTATGCTGCAGACTAAATTATGACATAGAATTAGAGAGTTAATATACCCTTAAAGTAAGGCAGTAAAGGTGTATTGCTGGCTGTGGCAGCTGAAAGAAAACTGCTTTTAGTAGTCTTTACCAATGGATAGGGAAAAAAGCATTTGCAGATCCATAACTGCATACCAATATTAGGGAATGACCCATCCCAGGCTCTCATATTCTATTGAAGTTAAGGATCCACATTCAGTGGCAACAGTTCCCACTGCAATTCCTGGTCTAAAAACAGAGACCACAGAGCTCTTCAAGAATGTTGGTTATCCCCTCACAAATTTATTTCTCACAGTCATGTGAAAAAGGTATCCTCTGGCCCCTCCTGGGTGACTGAGCAGGTCTTACATGAAAAATCTACACTACCATTCCAATTTCTCTAAGCCTGACTTGGCCTAATCATCATCCTACACCCTTAAAAATATGTATATTATTAAATATTTTACTTAGATTTCCATCTCTATGACTTGGAAAAATCATAGTTATTTTGGACTTTAACACACATCCTCATGTAGCACATTTTGTACCTCACCCTTTGGAGCCTGCTTATACTTGAATCTAGTTATACATCAAAAAATAAAAAGGAGTAGTTAGGTAAGTCCTGGAGACAAACTTCAGCATCAAAGGCACCAACCATGGAGGAAGTCATTACAGTTTCGTCAGGAAAAGTAGAGCTAGCCTGCTAAGATGAGGGTAAAAGGCCACTTCTACTGGCAAAGAAAACTCAGCTAAATTTAGGGGTTCAATGTCCTCAGCTTCATCAGCATCTGCCCACATGCCCCCATATCAATTTTGAGAATGCATTCCTTCCTGATCAAAGTCTTCATTGTAACAGCAGACATCCTGCAAAGACAGGAATGTTATTTGGGTTCTAATTTAGTCACTCAAGGGATGATATTCTGGATTTGATTTTTCGCCATGTCAGCTCTGCCACTACAGAAAAGAGTTTCTTTAAGGGCAGACATAGATAGTTTCAGGTCATTAATGTAGCACTGTAGCTAGGAATTTGAAGCCTTGAACTCATCCTTTTCTCTTTCAATTTTAGTACAGTTCAGAGCAAATGGTAAATCTCACTGAACTCATCAGTTTTATAAGTATGCTGTAGGGTATCAAAATATGTGCTCACCAAAATCCTTGCTTCTTATAAGCATTTGGAAGTATCAAACAGTGATATTTGTACATCTCCATTGCCATATCACACTATGGACTATCAGAGCTTTCTACTACAGAAAGCAAAATCATTAGTGACCTTACATATAACTAGATTAGAGAAGCAAGTCCAGAAATCCCCAAATCAACTCAGAAAACTCATCCTTAAGATTCTGTTCCTGCACAACAATTCTCAGTACCAAAATAGTCATCAGTCAGCGTTCTCAAAAAGAAAATAACAGAACCAATAGCATATGAATTTTTCATGTTTTATTTTAAGTAATTGTCTCACATGATTGTCAGCTCTAGAAAGTTCAAAATCTGTAGGGCAGGCCATCAGGCTAGAACCTAAGGCAAAATAGGTGCCATAGTCTTGAGTTTGAAATCTGTAGGGCAACGCAGCAGCTTGGAAATTCAAGCACAGTTTCTATGTTACAATCTTGAGGCAAAATTCCTTCTTCTCATGAGAAGGCTCCCATTTTTGCACTTAAGGCCTTCATCTCATTGGATGAGGTCCATCCACACTATTTAATCTCCTTTACTTAAAGTCAACTGATCACAAAGGTTAATTCCATCTACAAAATGCTTCACAGCAACATGTAGATTAGTGTTTGACAAAAAAACCAGGCACCATATTTAGCCAAGTTGACACATACAACTAACCATCACAAGCTCGGAAATAAATTTTATAAAAGAGATATACATTGAAGATCCTTAAAAGTAGTCCAATTGGGTAAATAGACAATTTTAGCAGTTTTGTGACTCCATAACAAAAATTTAGCAACAGCAAAATTTGCTTATGGATGCCAAAATAAGAAACACTAAGGTCTCTGAAGCACTCAAGCTGGTAAAAGAAACATTCAGTAATTACAGAGGTCCAGATGATCTTAGTAGCTTCCCTGGCACATCTAACAGTCCTTATGTGGCATGTCTGTATTGGAAGAAAAGTGATCAGAAAGGCCTCGAGGCTAACACAGCTGAGTAAAAGGGAACTGACATGTACATTTGCAATCTGGAAATTCTCCTTCAAGGTCAATTGAAAAGAAGATGATAGTACTTCACTCTTTATCACATCTTGAGTCATGGCAGAAAAAATGCTGTAGCCAACTAAGATGTCTGCCTGAGCCATGTTACTAATAAACACTGAAGTAGACTTTCTGGATACAGAAGGTAATGTCAATATCATCATGACATAAAGACTGGCAAATGATCCCAGCAGAGTGATGATGATATTTGGAGAAGGTAGGACAAGATACTGGATATATTTGAATGTCAAGTACCTTCGGAGATCTTTCATATGGTCTCGATTTGTAAAAACACTAAGCCAGACAGGATGCCTGTAGTGAAAAGTAGAAAAGAAAAGTGATGTAGGGATGCATGCAAAACAACTTAAAATCACTTAAAACTATGGTTTGACCCAATAAATTTAATAATTTAGCAGGCTAACATAACATCATTAATATACTTCCCATGATTAGACCTGATTTCATCGTAGGTCATACAGCCATATGAAATTACACTTCTGGTGACAATTTACAGTAAAGACAGAATCTTCTATTTCAAAGTTTTCTATACATAAATTGACATCTTTACTCATGTTTCATCTTACCCTTCTAATTATTTAACTTAAGCAAGGAATTAGAAGAAATTTTATTGTTCAGATAGATGTATGTATAGGTATCACAAGAAAGAACTTGGAGCAGATGTCTGATAGAGGAAGGTTAACTAACCTCTGGGTTAATGCACTAGCAGTGACATAGAAATCTTATAATTAATTCATTTCCATTTCTGTGTGAAATGAACAGACTGAAAGAAAACCTGAATCTTAAATGCTCTCTCTTCCTCCAAGCAGAATCACTGGTCAAAACTAGTAACTGGTTCTTCCACAGCCCCCAAAGAATTCATATTTATATTCTTCACTTTTGAAAGTAGAGCGCCTGGAACATTCTCTCTTTTCATCTGAATCCTTCTTTATATTCTCTACCACATCTAATAAGATTGCACTAGCATAGAGCTTTGTGTGAGGTAAGTACTCAAAGCAGCATTGACATATGCTGCCTACGTTGACAGCACAACTCACATATTTCTCTCCTCTCTCTCTCTCTCTCTCTCTCTCTTCCTCTCTCTCTCTCTCCTCTCTCTCTCTCTCTCTCTTTGTCTCTCCTCTCGTAACTTTGGTGACTTTTTATGCAAAACAGAAGCTAAATTGAAAATTATGTTGATATAAAGTCTGAAAAGAGGTATTGTGAGGGAATTTTTTTTCAATGAAAGCTGTATATATATCTTATGTATCTGATAATTATCTCAAAATTCCAGGCAGGTAGTTTGTTCCTGATAGGCAAACTGGTTGAAAACACTGTTGTTCCCAAAATTTACTACTTAGTGAGAATACCTACAGGAGTCACAAATTCAAATGCCCTCAGGGTTCAGGAAGGCAATCTAAATGAGGTCCCTATCTGAAGGGAACAGCTAGTAATCAGCTCCACCCGATCTTTGCCATGAAGTACTATTGTCATACCTTTTTTTATTTTCCAAGAGGGAGAAATCAGACTTTAGGTGAGATCATTCAAATTTTTAATGTGGGCAATCTATTCAAAATTGTTTGTCTATTTGTTTGATGCTTTGTTTTGTTTTAAAACATGTAAACCAAAACCCACTGCCACTTCTCAATCTTTAGTTTGAGACTGGGAAATCTCATAACTCAACAAACAAAGTTATAGGCCAATATCCCTAATGAACATAGATGTAGAAATCCTCAACAAAAATTTCAACAGTACATTTAAAGGATCATACATCATTATTATAAAGTGGAATTTATTCCTGAGATGCAAGAATGGCTTATGATTTCTTTTAATATTTTGCACTGCCTTATAAAGTATAGTTATTACTACCTATATTTTAGACACAACAAAACTTATTTCTAAGTTAAGTAACTTGACCAAAGTCATAACTAAGAAGTGAGGAAACCACAGAATCCAGCCTTATCTGACTGATTACCAAATTTTTGTTCTTTGTATCCTAACATTGCTTTCTAAACATCAACAGGAACTTACATTTAGATCCTCTTTATTAATGTGGAGTCATAGGCTTAAATGTCAACACTCAAAAAGTAAAAACAAAAAATCAGTGTTTTTCTTCTCTTCCCACCCTGCAAGTCTTTAAAACCCATTCTCAATATTAAAGTAACTTAGATAATTTTACCATCCTTGGGAACATACCAATTTCCATAAAATAGAAGACTTTATTAACTCTGTGTCTAAATCCCATTTGATGTATTTAAATTTTAGTGCTTCTCCTTAAGGCAAAAAAAAAAAAAACAACTTGAAATGTTTTTGCTTCTCTTGTTCTTTTCTGGACAGATTGCTTATTAGCCAGCCAAGATCATATCAGATCCAAGTTGCTAGACAGTCTTATTAAGGAGCTGATTTTGCAGGTAAACCTTCTTGCTTCTCCACTCTTCCCATCCTACACCACTACTTTCATAAGAATGTAATAATTACTAACCATTAAGAAACTTCAGTGTATACAATTATTATGTGCCAGTCAAAAATAAAAATAAAGGAAGAAAGAAAAGTATCCCTTACTTTCCTTTGGTCAATGATAACCACAATTACTTTGAAATTAATACCAGATCCTCATAGAGGAAAAAAATGACTCCCATTATGACCCAGACTAAAATACTGACATACTGACACTTGAAATTTTTTGCAGCACTAGTCACAGTATTGGTTTTCAAAGTAAAACAAAAACAAACAATTGGTGAACTTTGAATAATAAATGTAAGGATAGACATCTGCTGATTGCTTTTGTTGTTTAACTAATGCCTTTTGTCCATGTTCTAATCTAGATAATCCATATAATAAAATACTCAGTGGATAGTCTTGAAGGATAGAGCACAGTTCATTAGCTCTGTGTCATGGTAAGCCAAATCTCTACCAAACCCAGTAGGTAAGGCTGGGCCTGTTTTATAAAGGCAGTGACTGTCACCAGAAGCCTGTATATAAACACAAGAGCAATTTAGTAAGAACCTGTATAGCTAGAACCTGTCCGATTCAATTTAGCCAGGTTGAGGATAGGGAGAAAAACCAAAAGAATGGTTTATATATACAAGAAATTGGCAATCTGCTTGAGTTTACCATATCCTTCATGGAAACATTTATTAAGCACCAAGATTTCTCCAACAAGAAAGTAAACCAATGGGAGATGCAAAGATCATTAATATGTATTCACTTGACAAGAGTGGTCTCAAATATCTGATTCGAGGGAGAACTCACTCAAAGTCTGGTTTCCAATCTCAATTTCATTAGGTTCCAAAGGCTAGAGACAAGAGGAGACAGTTTCACTTAAGACTCAAGTTGTGAAGTTATAAGATTAATAGCTCTTCACAGGATAATTTACAAAAGAAAGTTTGGGAGTGTGTGAAAGTCTCGCTCTGCATGTCTCAATGTCAGACTGTCATTGTCAGGGTCATTCTGAAGCAAAGTCTATCTTCAATGTTATCAACCTGGGACTTTCTGAAAAATTCCCCTGCTTAGACTCTGCAACTAAACCTTTGCTGTTCCTTGGTAACCTCCATCATGCTTTCCCCACTCCAAGCCTTTGCTCATACTATTCCTTCTGCTTAGGTCACTCTCCCACACCTGGCAACACTATCTATCTTTCAGTGCTCATTATAAGTGCTACCTACATGCAAATGAATTAAACTTTCCGTGACTCCCTTACTTGACTGGGCTTTCATTTGCCATCACTGGTTTTGATATCTCCCTGATTCAAACCTTTAAGGGTTGGACTATACATTCCTTATTTGTGTATAACTCTCTCTACTGTCTTCTATCTTCCATACCAGAATCATTTTCCCTATGAAAGATATATCAACATTATTCACTAAAAATAAGGACACAAGCATTGTATACAGGCTTTAAAGAAAATGGTAAAATTAACCTGAAAAGTCAATTTCTTATTTTCCTCAGTTTCCTTATCCATTCACCCCTATCTACAAAGTTATCTTCATCTATACTCATCCTTGCTTTCTTTTTCCTAGTGTCAGATATGTTTTTCTTTTCCTCCAGTCAATTCTCCCTCAACAACATCCTTGGCACCATCTGCTCTGACCTCTTCCAGGACCTTACTCTATCAGACATCCTTTTCTTTTCCTTCAGCCTATGAGAAAGCTCACTTCTCATGCAACCTACAAACTCAAAGAAGAAAATTTCTATGTCTCCACAGCCCTTTTGTGTTACCTCTTTCCTCTTAGAAATCATCAAACTTCCTGAACAACCTATCTAACATCACTACCACCACTTTCTTATCTTCCATTCTCTCTTCAATCTATGCAGTTTGACTTCTATCCTCAATATTCCAATAGTACTCCTTTCATTAAGGCTACCAACCACCTGCCAAATGCATTGTATTTTCTCAATCATTGTGTTAATGAACTCCTTTGCAGAGTTTGACTCTCATCATTATGCCTTACTTGTTGATACATTATTTCCCATTAGTTTCCATGATGCCACATTATCTGTCTCCTTCATTGATTCTTAATCTTCACTCACTCCAAAAATTGTCTATGTTCTTTAGCATTCCATCACCAATCCATTTCCCTTTTCTACCTATACATTTGAATGCAGTTCTATTTTCAGCCACCATCTCCCTTTTAAACTTCAAGACCAAAGGCTCATGCCTGTAATCAGGAGACAAAGATCAGGAGGATCAAGGTTTGAAGCCAACCATAGGCAAATAGGGTCATGAGACCCTAGCATGAAAAAAAAATCACAAAAAAGGGCTGGTGGAGTGGCTTAACCAGTCCTGAGTTCAAACCCCATAGCCTCCAAAAAAACAAAGGTCCATTGGCCTACTAGGTCTCTCTGTTTGAATGACTTAAAGATATATCAATGTAGATTAACATGAAAGTCACTTCTAACTTATTTTTACCATTCTGCTAATTTTACCTTGGAAAATTCTTCCCTCTAGTTCTTCTTTTGTCCTTTCTAGCTTTTTTTTCATTGCCTTAGTTCAGAAACACATCATCTCATACCTAGATAATTATAGCAAGTCCTTATCTGGTCTCTTGGAAACCAAACTTGCTACATAATCCTCAAGATGAAATGGTTAAGTATACTATAGAGCCAGACTGCCATGGTTCAAGTCCTGGATCTATCACTTATTAACTGTGTGATGGTGGAAAAGTTACTTAACTTTTCCATACCTCAGTTTTCTCACAAATGCCTAACTCATAGGGATATTTTGTTAATGTACAATAAAGCCCTTAGAGCTATGTCTAACATAGCTGTTGTTCTT